CCCCATGGTCACCCCTACAATTTACACATACCACTACTTTCCCCAATACTACACATTCTTTTGTCTCACTCCCTCCTACACACTGCTGCCACATGCCCATAATCTTGACACCTGTAACAACGTAATGTATTCGGCACAAAAGCTCGTACCGGATAACTTATATCCTAACATCACTTTGTCGGGCAAATACTCAACATCAAACTCAAAAGAACAGAATATGACTCTTCTGTTTCTCCACTCACGCCACCCTGTCTGCATCGCACCAAACGACGAGCATCACAAACACTGGGAATCTTCCCCTTCAGTTGATCAGCTTTCACATTTACCACTACCCCAGTAATCATGCCTTTTAATGGCACCCTTTTCTTGAGAGCAAAACAATTCACATCTCTTGTCCCCATTCGTTTAACACGAAGCGCCTGCTCCCTCTGACCAGCAGAAACACAAACAATTATCACAAGACCACTTCTGGATACCCTCACCAATTCCACAGCACCCAACTCTGTTTTCACCCACCCTGAAACCACACATGGATCAGCCAAAAGGCAAGGGTCCACTTTTTCCAAAAACGTCACTCCTATTGTCACAGACTGCTCTTTATTCTAACCCTTGATGCAAACCTCGGGCTCCGAGAACTTCACACACCTACCACCTCCAATACCTCGCCCTCATTCACTTCCATTTCTCCTCCTGTCTTCAACTCACTCTGCTTACACTTTCTACCGTTCTTCTTTCACAAACATCTTCCTTTTTCCCGCCATTTTTAACTGACTCAATCTCACCCTCTTCCTCCCTCTCTCTCTTAGACCTCCTCTGCCTCTCTTTTTCCCTCCATTCCTCCTCCGTATTCCAAGTATAACTCTCCTTATGATAGTACTGCACTTCTCCTGACATACATCTAGTTCTTGCCTTGTCTAGGGACACCATTTCTCCTCCGACTCAACTCGGGCCGAACGCCAATCCGCCTTCGTTTGTCAACATTACTGGCTCCCAGATCAAGTCTAGAGTAGTGACGTGTGAAGTGTCGAAATTCGATGGGAGTGGCCGACTGAATACAAGTCAAACAGCAGTAGTCTGAAATAACTTTACTTCAGAAAACATTTAGTCTCAAAACAATCAAGAAGTGAACCCCACTAGTATATAACCATAAGAATATTTGATACACTAATATATATATTTTTTAATTCTGCCCCCTGGACACCCAAACAAAATCAGTTGACATTACATTTACATTTTAGTCATTTAGCAGACGCTCTTATCCAGAGCGACTTACATTCTGCCCATTCTGTAACTCTGGGTCTTCCATTCCTGTGGCGGTCCTCATGAAAGCCAGTTTCATCATAGCACTTGATGGTTTTTGCGACTGCACTTAAAGAAACGTTCAAAGTTCTTGAAATATTCCGTATTGACTGACCTTCATGTCTTAAAGTAATGATGGACTGTCGTTTCTCTTTGCTTATTTGAGCTGTTCTTGCCATAATGCTCAAAGGCATTAAGAAGGAATATATATTTAACTTTTAAGAAGGCACACCTGTTAATTGAAATGCATTCCAGGTGACTACCTCATGAAGCTGGTTGAGAGAATGCCAAGAGTGTGCAAAGCTGTCATCAAGGCAAATGGTGGCTATTTGAAGAATCTCAAATATAAAATATATTTTGATTTGTGTAACACTTTTTTGGTTACTATATAATTCCATATGTGTTATTTCATAGTTTTGATGTCTTCACTATTATTCTAAGATGTAAGAAATAGTAAAAAAATAAAGAAAAACCCTTGAATGAGTAGGTGTGTCCAAACATTTGACTGGTACTGTATGTCTGTGGCATCTTTATTTTATAGCAGAGATAACTAATGGGAATATTTGTGCAATCAAAAGGAACATTCACAAGGTATAGACCACACCTTCAACTGTATATGTTTAAGATATTTAATTGAGTGAGTGACAGACAGGAGTTGCGGGATCAACATTACCCACTTTGTATGACATTTTAACTTTGCATGTCACATGTGTCACATATGTCTGGATCACAACCAGTCATTTCTAGTATCCATCAAAGCATCATTCGCAATGGAAATTCAGGTAATATCATTAATTTTGACATTTGCTCAGTACTTGAAGGGTGAATAGAAAAACTCTCACATTAGATGTCTTTGAAGGTGGTAGCACATTACTGCTGTCTAGAGGATGAAATTTTTTACAACATAGGGGTTATTCAGTACAATTCAGCCATATTTGAGACTCGACGCAGGATTAATGATAGTAACTTCAACCCATGTCAGATTTAAGAATATTGAAGACCTTATTGTACATACAGTACCAACACATACATAAGCATAATATTTTTGATTATGCTTATGTATGTGTTGGTACTGTATGTACAATAAGGTCTTCAATATTCTTAAATCTGACAAGTGCTTTACCTTCAATTGAAACAGGCCTAGAAACAGAAAATGCTAGCTGAAGTGGATGGTGACTGCATTTGGCAATCAGGGAATAGATGTGTAAAGACAAAGCAATATCATGAAATCTCAATTTGATTTGATTTTGGACCACAGGTTAAATGCAGCAAATACATTTACTTTTATTACTCATCAAGAGAAGGAGGGGATGTAGGGGGAGAGGGAGTTTCTTCAAACAAACCCATCTACAAGCATGTATCCACTAACAACCCCCCCCCCCCCCCCCCCACCCCCCCCCCACCCCCCCACCCACCCCCACCCTCATTCCTCGATACAAGTGCCATCTGTCAACGTTTAGTAAAAAACACACTTGAAGCAAATTTAAACATTGAAATAAACCGATTTAATCAAAAGGCAGTTGAACAACAGTGAGCAAAGTTTAGTATGAGGGGATAAAGTAGTTGATTTGGCAGCCTGGCATTGGTGCAGAGAGAGAGAGAGAGAGAGAGAGAGAGAGCGAGAGAGAGAGAGAGAGAGAGATAATCTCCTAAGCAAGCTGGCCCAGGACAGCAACACAATCAGACCCAATCATGAGAAAACAAAAAGAGAATTACTTGACACATTGGAAAGAAGTAGAACTAGAATGCTATTTGGCCCTAAACAGAGAATGTCTTTATTATTTTGGAACTTGTGTGAGTGTAATATTTACTGTTCACTTTTTATTGTTTATTTCACTTTTGTTTATCCATTTCACTTGCTTTGGCAATGTAAACATGTGTTTTCCATGCCAATAAAGCCCCTTTGAATTTAATTGAGCGAGAACGAGAGATAATTTCTGTTAAGCATTGCATTTAATATAGTGTAAAACTGTTCTAGAGTCCTATTGTCTCAGCACAGTAGGGTACAGCAGGTTTAGAGAGATATGCAGACTTACAGTCATGGGGCCAGGATTATTGCTTCTCATCAGGGTGTTGTAGGAGGCGGTAGTGCAGGACCTTGAGAACATAATGTCCACTGGCTAGGGCTGAGTGTGGTCCTATCGACGTGTGAGTGTGTGTGTGTGTGAGAGAGAGAGAGAGAGAGAGAGAGAGAGAGAGAGAGAGAGAGAGAGAGAGAGAGAGAGAGAGAGAGAGAGAGAGAGGAAAGGGAGAGGAGAGAGTGTCTGTGTGTGTGGGGGGGGGGTATCATTGATCATCATCCCCCCCCACAGGAGGTATGCATAGATATAGGATCTTAATTTGGTCATTTTCTCACAGCAAGAAAATAATCCGTCAGCAACAGGAAATGTGAATTATTGTGTGGAATTATAATTCATTGACAATTTTGTAAGGGTTGATACATTTTTAGTTATGGCAAATCAAGTCTGACATTTTAAAGTGGAAATTACAAAACTTTTTAAGCATTTCTAAACCTTGTATACACTACAATACATTTCCTGCAACAACAGAGTGATCCAATTAATTTCCTACACCTGTATACATTCATAGAAGTAGGCCAATTGTCACAGCAATATTCGTGAAGAGTATAGCATATGTCTGACTATAGCTTAATTGGATATTGTTGTATGTGTAAGCAATAGGTAAGTTGGCTATGCAAAGTGCCAGATAAGGTAACCATTTACAGTAACTGCTGTTCATCATTACTTAGTCAATAAACACTATCAGCCAACAGAAGATCTAGCTAAGTTAGCTACAGAAAGTAATGGAGAAATGTGACCTTTCTGCAGCAGGTAGCTCTAACTGGGCAGCTTCATCTTGTTGCAGGTTGAGGGACCAACTTACTTCCACTAGCTACTACTATCTAGCATGACTATATCCAGTAACCAGGTAGGGCTAGCTAGCCAGCCTGCTAGCTAGTCAGTAGCCAGCTAGTGCAAGTCAACTTTGTTCAGTTGTTGTTAAGTTTGTTCTATTGGCACGCTAACTTCATAATAAGTTCTGCATCTTAGCTAACATTAGTATTTGTATCTTCTTGTCACACAGTCCAATCCTTTCTTTTAGCTGCCAACCTAGGCTGTAAACCCCCCCCCCCCCCCCCCCCCCCCAACCCAGTGAATATTCTATGAGGGGGTGTGTTTTATTATTATTTTTTCACCTTTATTTAACCAGTTAAGCCAGTTGAGAACAAGTTCTCCGGGTATAAAAAATGTGTTGTTATTTGTTTGCCGTTATTACATGTCCAATTGTGACACAATAAATGGGAAAACAAGTTGATTTATGATTTTCGTTTTTTAAATTCAGAAAAAAAAAGAGCTGTTTTCTGTTTTTCCAATCCGTTTTGGCTCAAATAGCAAAATAAGGAAACGTACACGGACCAAAGACATATATCATTGTTTTGATTTCCTATCATGCTGAGTGGAAAAGATGATAAGCATAATGAAACAAGAGGCATGTGCATACTATATCACATCTCAATACTAATACTAGTTAGGATGTGCGTACATATACACTGAGTATACCAAACATTAGGAACACCTTCCTAATATTGAGTTGCACACATACACAATCCATGTCGCAAATGCTTAAAAATCCTTATTTAACCCGTCACCTCCCCTCCATCTACACTGATTGAAGTGGAATTAACATGTGACATCAATAAGGGATCATAGCTTTCACCTAGATTCCCCTGGTCAGTTATGTCATGGAAAGAGCAAGTGTTATTCATGTTTTGCATACTCAGTGTATAAGTCCAACTCAGTAGCTACTGCATCAGTAATAGTATGTACATTGGGAGAGTGAATTATTTTCTCCCCAAAAGCTTACAGTGTAGATTTGGGAGGCTGGTATGGCTGGACCTGATCTTGCATGACTGCGGAGTCAATGGGACGTTCATCGGTCTCATGGAATGTAGAATCCTCTTCCCCATATCTTCCCTCCAGGATACTCTGGACTACGTTGATTACCTTGCTATTGAATACTATTTCCAAGTGGGGCATGGCCCTGAACTCCTTGACATGGACAGGCTGTGCTTGCTTTCCTATCCAGCGCTTACATAAACCCATGCTAATACTGTCCACTGTATCATCCCCATCAGCATACACATAGTCTATAGGGTCTACATTTGGGAACTGGTCGTCGTAAATATAGGTAACCGGTGTGGGCAGCCCCACACCATAGAAGCAGTATACCTCAACACCAGGAGGGGGCAGACCAGCTGTCAGGTTTCTGGTGTCTTCCCACATGAACCAGCCATCCTCAAAGTCGATGTCATTGAAGAAGCGCTGGTAGTCCTGGTGGGTATAGTTGAATGAGGGTGTGGAGATGAAAGCGTGGTCTGCAGGCCATGCCTCTTCAAATGGAAGCATCCAGGGGTTTGTTGTGGTCATGCGCTGCTCCTCCCGGATCTTGATGTTGGATACCAGTGGGATGCCATCATTTTCACCTGCAGAAACAATTGTTATCATAAATTATTTTCTCTTGGCAATCTTTAGCCAATGTGTGACTCGCCAAAGTAATCCAGACAAACCAGTCCTACCACCCTTTCAGGAAAATGAAGATGTGGGAATTATCGCAAGTAAAAGGATTTTACAATATGTACCGATTACTGTCAATGTGATTTATGGGACAGTAAGAACTACTTCAACCCGGTTATCAGGTTTTTTCAGGTTATGTTATGTTTCTACTATAGGTAAGGTTGTTTCAATCTGTCCACCAGACTTTGACGTATATTACCTGATGCTAGAACTCGAAGGGGCTTGACTGCCCCACCCCAGGGTGCTCCAAGTGAAATGAAGCCTTTGATGTATTGGTCTTTCCAAGTCTGGGTCTGCTGATATAAGAAGTAGAGGACATAATTGCTTCCCATGCTGTGTCCCAGGAGGTAAAGTGGTTGTTGATACTGCTCGTACATATCCTCAACCAGCTTCTTCAGCCGTGCAAAGTATTCCTCCTGCTCGTCTGATAAGGAGAGACAAATAGGCACAGTCACATGATATGAAAGCATGTGTGCATAAACAATAAATGAGTTGTACTTTTGCTGTACAGGAAAGTGATTGTCAGTTGGATGGTGTGTGTGTGTCCATGATGTCACTTACTTGGAGCTACCCTCCAGTCGTATGGTGCTGCTCGGACAGTCTCATTGCGGACATATCCCATGTTGACCAAATGTGTAACCATAGTATGAAAATAACCTGAAAAAGGACAGGTTTCATTTAATGAAATCATAATAAAAAAGAAAACAATTATAGGAAAAGTTGTCCTCCTTATGGTTGTTCTCACCTGACAACTTGTTTGTGTCCAAGAACTCAACAGTATATGTCTGTCCAAAACCAGGCACTCTCACCATCACCCCTGCAGAATTGGTGGTCTTGCGAGTTGTCCTATTGTATACAATTCTGTAGCAGGAAATATTCAGTATGTACAGAATGTTATTGCATAAGGAAATTATCCCAACCACTAAAATGCCCCGCACTCAAAATCAAACTTGTGAAAATAGAGTTGTGGTTGTATGCTTCTCTCTTCTATTACAGTGCATTATTTATTGATACAGCAATGAACAATTAGCAAATGCTCCCTAAGTGTTTTTAGTTGAAATTATTTAATTAATCATAAGATATAAACATAATTATTTTGACATGGATCATATTTATTCCCCCCTCACCTTATATTATCGATCCAACAGTCAATCCCAATTGGCATGAACATATTTAGGTCAATCCAAAGAGTGAAAAAGTCATCTGTCTTTTTGTAGCACATCCAATGCACAAGGCTTGGCTTGTCAATCTTGGCCTCAAGCTGGTTTCCTAGGTTCCCAGGCACTGGTAAAAAGTGGCAAAATGTTAGAACTTAGAAGCCAGATGAGCATAAAGTCATTTAAAAAGAGGATACAACAAGGGTAGATGAGAAGAAGAGGATGGCAAGACAAAGTCAACGTAGAGATTCTTGTGTTTTCCCTTGTTTCACAACTGTCAATGTGATTTGTCCCATCAAACAGACACAAGACATTGACCAATAAAAATCTAAACATTGGTAACACTTCATTTTAAGGGTCCTTATTACAGTTTAATTACACTGTAACAACTATTGTAATTAATTATAATAATTCATAGTTACAATGTAATAACAACATGTGGTAATTGAAGTCTGTAATTACAGGGTGTAACAACAAATGCTTATTTCCATGCTTGTTACAAATGTAAAAGTTTCCGATAGCATCCCAACACACCATATTTCAGCCTGCACAAACCACGTGATAAGTGTAAACCAATTGAAAACCGACCACCTCATTGACACAACTCTGCAATAAAGATCTGGAGTATGATGCCCAGGCCCAATGGCAAAAACAGGTTTACAAATGGTTCACATAAAATAAAAAGGAGTCGGCAGGGCAGGTGCGGGGGTCCCCCACACACACAATTAGCATTTAATAATAACAATAAATTAAGGAACTCAGTCCAGCTTTCAACTTACTCTTGAAATGTCTAATAGTAGAATGCACAAGATACAATTTCGAAATTGGTCACTGCATACCTTAGAGAGCTATTTATAACTTGTCAGACACGTCAGCTAACGTTTTTTTTACTAGATTATTTTGCCCAAATGCTGGAAAGGGGGCCTGAGTGAAAAAGTTTGGAGTAGAAGCTCAGTGTGCAAAATCCAGACATTGCCACGAACAAAACAAAGTGTTGTAGGTCAAAAACGTCAACACAGGAGAAAGAAAGTAAGTTATGTTTCACTATATTGGATCACTCCAATATATTGGTATCACTCCGCGGCGGAGGGATACATCCGATGTGAGGATTTATCCCTCCGACCAATGCGGCCATGCTGCTGCAGGCCTACCTGCAGACTCTATTGCCCCGGCTGCAGGAGGGCACAGAGGAGCTCCTCCAGGAAGCGATAGAGGTGTCTTGCCTGCTTTCCCTGCTCCAGAGGGTGTGGCCCGTGCCAATGGACGGGCCATGGCGCAGGTGGTTACCATCTCTGGCTGGCACAATCCCGTCTGCCAGCTGCTCTCAAGAGCACATTTGCCCTTCTCCCCATCACCCCAGGGCTGACGTTTGGTCCAGGGGTTGATGACATTCTGGAGCAGACCGATAAGGTTCGAAGCGCCACCGTCACCGCCAGCTGCAGGTGACCGCACAGTGCCTCAGAGAATTGTTGAGGTGGCGCTGTCGCTCCTTTCTCTCAGGTGTGGTGGAGATGCTGAGGATGTGCTGCCAGGAGCTGGTCAGCACAGACGCCTCCCAGATCGGCTGGGGGGGTGTGACCAAGGGCAGGTCGGCCAGCGGCTGTTGGCTACCCCCTTGGAGCGGCAGGCACATCAATACACTAGAGCTGTACTGCTGGCCCTGCGGTCTTTCCTTCCACATCTGAACGGAAGACATGTCCTGGTGAGAACGGACAACACCACAGTGGTGGCTTCCATCAACCATTAGGGTGGACTGAGGTCCCACCGTCTCCATCTTATGGCACAGGAGCTCCTTCTCTGGGCTAAGGGACGTCTAGCGTCTCTACGCGCAGCGCACGTACCTAGCAACCTGAATGTGGCAGCGGATATGCTCTCGAGGGAGGGCCTGCCACCTTGGGACTGGAGCCTACATTCCCAGGTGGTGCAGCACCTGTGGGACAAGTTTGGGAGGGCGCAGGTGGACCTGTTTGCCTCCCTGGGCAATGCACACTGCCCCCTGTGGTACTCCATGTCGGAGCCACCAGGGCATCTGGGCTTGGATGTTCTGGCTCATGATTGGCCAGGGCTGCTGCTGGTGGCCCCATACTGGCCCAGACGACCCTGGTTCAGCCTTCTCCTGTCCCTGATGTCTGGGACACCTTGGCAACTGCCCCAGAGACCCAACCTGCTGTCTCAGGCCGGGGGAACTCTGTGGCATCCGAGACCGCACCGCCTCAGTCTGTGGGCTTGGCCACTGAATGGCACCAATGGTCCATGTTAGGACTACAGGAGGGCATAATGAACACCATGCAGAGCACAAGGGCACCGGCTACAACCTCGGCATACCAGTTGCGCTGGCGGTTGTTCTGCTCTTGGTGCACTGGTATTGAGGTTGTGCCTGAGTCATGCGGGGTGCAGTATGTCCTCCAATACCTGCAGTCTCGCTTGGATGAGGGCTTGGCAGCCTCTAGACTGAGAGGGTATTTGGCCGCTATATCTGCCTGCCATGTGGGGTGGATGGACAGGCCAGTGGGGCGCCATCCCTTGGTCTTCAGGTTTATGAAGGGGGTTCGTCACCTGCGTCCAGCTAGGACCCACTCAATAGCGAGCTGGGATGTGGATGTGGTCTTGGCAGCTTTGGCAAAGCCACCTTTTGAACCGTTGGAGTCTGTGTGCCTGAAACACCTCTTTATGAAGGTGGTTTTCTTGGTAGCTATTACTTCCATGAAGAGCTCCATGCTTTTTCGGTATGTTCTGAGTGCTACTGGATGGACACCGGTGGGAGGAGTATATAATTTCTCTGCCCCAACCCTTCATTCCTCACGAAGGTTCTGTCAGACAGGCATGTGAACCCTTTTATCATGTCTGCTTACGACCCCCCAGCAGTGGCTGGGGAGTCTGGGCCTCCCTCCAACATGCTGTCCCCTATGCAGGCACTGGCTGCCTATGTGGAGCGGACACGGTCAGTGAGAACAACAGACCAGCTCTTTGTCTGCTATGGTGAGAGAGTCCTGGGGGCTGGGCTATCAAAGCAGAGGCTCTCTCACTGGATCATGGACACGATTACGACAGCATACCGCCTGGCTGGCAGGCCAGTGCTGGGATCTGTGGTGGCACATTCAAGACGAGGTGTGGCTACGTCCTGGGCTCTACTGAGAGGAGTGCCCCTTGCTGATATCTGTGTTCTAGCCAGCTGGGCTTCCCCTTGCACCTTTGCTAGGTACTATCGGGTAAATGTGGTACCTCCCTCTGCGGTTGGTTCAGCGGTCCTGGGCGTCGCCTCCCTTTCCGGGGACTGTGCCGGGACCCCCTTCCACATTGATGGCCCCTGCGTCTCGGTTCCGCGCTGGGACTTCGCCGCTAGCTGGCCAGGTCCCTCTAGGACCGACTAAATCTGGTACAGGTATATCAATATATTGGAGTGATCCAATATAGTGAAACATAACGGAGGTTACGTATGTAACCACAGTTATGTGAGCTATATGGATCGCTCCAATCCTCTACGGTGCTAGAGGCGCCTCAAAGATGATGTAGAGAATGTGTGTCGCGGCCATGGGGTCTATATATAGGGGCGGACCCCAGCCGTGACACAGGTGTACACAGGAGTAAATCTGTAAATCCTCACCTCGGCTGTATCCCTCCGCCGCGGAGTGTTACCAATATATTGGAGTGATCCATATAGCTCACATAACCCTGGTTACATACGTAACCTTCGTTTTCCATACAATTTGTTTTGCTTTTTTGGATACATTAATTCTGCTAGACAATTTAGCGTAGGTAGTTAGCTAGCGTTTGCTAGCTAGCTAATGTTAGCTGACCAAGGCTTCTCCCTCGATTGCTCAGTTTGTCCGGGCCGCCAGCTTTAGGAAGTGTCTTGGTGGTTCCAACTTATTACATTTCATGGAGGCCACTTTGTTCTTGGGGACCTTCAATGCTGCAGAAATGTTTTGGTACCCTTCCCCAGATCTGTCCCTCGACACAATCCTGTCTCAGAGCTCTACGGATAATTCCTTCGACATCACGGCTAGGTTTTTACTCTGACATGCACTGTCAACTGTGGGACATTATATAGACAGGTGTGTGCCTTTCCAAATCATGTCCAATCAATTGAATTTACCACAAGTGGACTCCATTCAAGTTGTAGAAACATCTCAAGGATGATCAATGGAAACAGGATACACCGGAGCTCAATTTCGAGTCGCATAGCAAAGGGTCTGAATACTTATGTAAATAAGGTATTTCTGTTTTTTATTTTTAATACCTTTGCTTTGTCATTATGGGGTATTGTGTGTAGATTAATGAGGAAAATGTTTTATTCAATCAATTTTAGAATAAGGCTGTAACGTAACAAAATGTGGAAAAAGTCAAGGGGTCTGAATACTTTCCGAATGCACTGTGAGACACCCAGCATGTTAACATTATCTAGCTAGTTAACTACTTGTGTCAACACAAGCACTATTATTGCTAGCTTGATAACACAACAACTAGCTAGGCTTAGCTGGCTATATGCCTAAACTATAGAAATCATGATGATGAGAATTAGGGGTAATGTATAGTGCCTCTGCTAAGTTGTCATACATTCTTCTTCTCTACCACTGATTCCCACAAGGTCTCAGACTCCAGGATGGGAAAATGTTAACAAGAAAGAAACGGATGAAGACAGAGTGGTCAATTTCCATTGTTACTTGTAATGTTAAAAAGGGAAGAAAAAGAAAAAAAAATTGGCTAGCTTTCTAGGCTACTCACCATACTGTAGGCTACAGATTTGAGTCACCACTAGAATCGTTTTTTTATGTTATTGAGTGGGTCTATATATCTTAGAGTAATAATTTGACTAATTAGATTAAACAAACAAAACAAATCGTTATTATTTGTAAGAAATGTAAGGTATTTTTACATGTTGCAATAAAGTTGACTAAAGTAGAAGTTCATATTTTGTTTGTAGGTATTTTCATTTGGTAATGAGTAATAAGTAATTATATAGAAATTGCTCATGGGTAACTATAAAGTTACACTTCACTTCCCTTGCGAAAAAAGATAACAGTTAGAGTGCAGTATAACTGCAGTATGCTGCAAATACTGCATCCAAAATAACACAGTTTTTTGTACTGCAGTAATTATGCAGTGTAACTAGCGACAACCTTGTACTTATGCAGATATTACAGATCCTCTGTGGTGTATTGGTGTGTTTATTTTCTCACTTGGATTGCGCTTTCAGAAGCTGACAATTAGATTGTCAGATTGGGTAACGAACTTTGTAGGTACACAATAATTACAAGTAAGTACACCTCAAGATACACTTTATTTTAACTAGCTAAATCCTGTGTTATGTCTAGTAATTATATTGCACTTGTGCAGATATTACATGTACTCTGTAGGTACTAGTGTGTTTATTTTCTCACTTGGATGGTACTTCCGGAAGCCTTAAAATAAGGGCCAGGTTGTCAGGATGGGTAATGTACTATATAAGTACACAATAATTACAAGTAAGTACCCCTCAAGATACACTTCATTTTAAGAACCTAATCCTGTGTAACGCCTGGTAATTACATTGTACTTATGCAGATATTACATGTACCCTGTGGAGTCACTGACCACCTTCTGGAGACACTTGAAACCCTACCTCTTTAAGGAATACCTGGAATAGTATAAAGTAATCCTCCTTCCCCCACCCCCCATAAAAAAAAGAATTAAAAAAAGTGGTTGTCCCACTTGCTATCATAAGTTGAATGCACCAATTTGTAAGTCGCTCTGGATAAGAGCGTCTGCTAAATGATGTAAATGTAAATGTGTACATATGGGTTTATCCTCTCACTTGGATGGCAAGGAGGTTCAGGTTGTCATAATGGGTAACGTACACATTAATTATAAATTATTTTTGTATTATAATATGGGATGACACCCGTGTGGTAGACCCCAGTCAGTGAGGCTGGCCTAAATCTGATCTGTTATTGTAAAGTAAACCAAGTTAACTCAGATGCTACACTTTGGGGGGGGGGGGGGGGGGCAAGCGCTAGCAAGAACATTGAGTGGAGATTTTGAAGAGTGCGCATTCACGGGAGGTAATTAGAGCCTATTGAGCCTCCAACCTTTGTAATCCCGGACACCCAGCACATCTGTCCACAAGAGATTACAACCTTGTGACAGTTATTACTGAATCAGATGCAGCTGAGAAGAAACAAAACACTACATTTAGTGGAAACTTGCCCATTTATAACAAGCATGGTAACAAGCATTCGTTGTTACACCTCTGTAATTACAGACTGCAATTACCACCAGTTACATTTTGTTATTACAGTGTTATTACAATTAACTACAATACTTGTTACAGTGTAATTACACATACAATTACACTGTAATAAGGACCCCTTAAAATGAAGTGTTGCCAAAATAACAAACTATTCCCGAGCCCCAAGGCCCCAACCCATATCCAAACACTGGCAGTTCCTGCCCCACATAAAAAAATATTAACCCCAAATGATTTCCTCTCCAGACAGATATAGGCTGGTTGTCCTCCCATTATGCTAAATTAAGGTATGCTTCTTCACCCATGTCCAAACCTCAGCCAATGCCATTAGGAATCAAATATATATCCCTGGTCCAGGACAATAGGATTCACTTAGCATTCATACCAACACCTGCAGATACCATAGAAAACTGCCTGGAACTGGCTTCAAGTTCCAGACAGAAAATCGACCTGTCTTGTGAAATACATGTAGGACTTTCAGTATGCATGAAAGCAAACTGATATTACAATCACATAAAACATAAATCGAATTCAGTGATAAATAACACGGTGTAATAGGCCTATCACATCACAGCAAACTAATCAAGAAATAGAAACGCTCACCTATAAGAACCGGCGGAGTGCTATTGTTTGCCACTTTGTTTTGAGGTTTGGCACTTGGTGGGAAGACCACATCGAAGAGCCAAAATCCAGCAGATTGTTGTAGCGCAAGGAATACTATAAGGAGAACGGTACAACAGTGTGCGTATCCCATTCTGTCCAAATCTTGACAGTGTTGTCTTGTCTCTCGCTAGGTCAGGAGGAGGAGAACTGGCCTATTAATGCTGTGTGTGAAAGAGGGTGGGGCGCGAAGTCAGAGGGAAAACGTGAGGTCAGTTACTCGATCATCGTTGGACCTCACTTTCAAGGCGCTCCTCACAACAGGAATAAAGGAGACAACATCAACATGATGCGCATCTGTCCTATAAGAGCAGTTGTGTGCTTCTACGGTGTAGTAGACGTAATAGGCCGACGGGTTATAGTTTAACTGAATTTATATGGAAATTTAAGCACACACACAGAGAAGGACAACACAGAGAAGGACAAACACAACGTGTACCACATACCCATTGCCCTATTGATTGTTTTACAAGTCCCATTCCGTCAAGGCTGTTTGCACTATGGTACCAAAGTAAATGATTAATAACATTTCGGCATTTAGAGATGTCTATTGGTTATACCAAACAAACAATTTAGAAGAAAAAAAAAGTTAGCTAGTTTGCTGAATATCATATTTGGATTATCATGCAATAGGCCTACATGTTTTGGCTTTTTACAACGTTATATAGGCCTATTGGTAGACTGGCCAATGCATTTTTATAGAAGCTACGTTTAAAATGAGCCCTTATTATAACCTACACACAGGGGTTAAATTGGGCCGGGTCCCGCCGGGTCCGAGACCCGGTACCTATATGACCCGAATGAGAGCCATGTAGGCTGAGCTGAGACCCGGTATCTGCTTTGGTTATTTGAATTATCTAATAAAAAAGTGTTGTCCACATTTAATTTTCCAGAGCTAAAAAAACGAGTAAACTACATCACAATTAGACAACCCCATAGTGAAATAGTTTAACTATTCAATTGTTCCGCCTGTCGCGTTCAATGCGAGAAAATAATATTAATGTCGAGGTGCATTCAAATTGGGAGTGCCGCACAGGGCGAGAAATATGCATGCCCAGTCATCATTGTACGTTATTAATGCAGTCGCGGGAAAACACATATTTGAAACCAGTTTTGATGGTCACTGTTAAAAGAGGAGGATCACGGAGCTTTCTTGTGTTACTAGGCTACACATATTTCTTAAATCCGTTAAATGAGTAGGCTAAAATGCACAATTTTAAAACCAGAGTTTTTAGCAGCAGCATGGTTTATTCGCTCGCCAATGGCGTTGAATGCATATGGAAGACCAGGGCTAAACGTAACAACGGTCAGATGTAACAGGTAGGCCTACATTATATTCATAGTACATGATCCTTGGTTGGCTGAGTGCCAATGGAACGTTATGTTTTGGGGGACATTCAAGTACTCGATATGTTGCTAACTAGCAACTAATGTTTAGACTTTAGAGTTCTAGCTAATGATTAGCCCAATGGGGTAAATGCAGATGAGCAACCCTTAGCCAATTTATTTATAGCCACTAAGCTGCATCATTAGATACATCAGGTGACAATGAGTATTGGACCAATATGTTAATAATCCTCATTTCTGGAGGGGGAAATTATATTTTAGATGTCAGCATCATTTTATTTTAATTCATTTTGAAGTAGAATGTCCTTCAAAAAAGTAACCAGAACTGACCTCACAGTCATTCTCCACCCAAAAATTGTAGGTTCCTCCTCAACTTGCAGTAGCCTATGCTGTGATATGTGCTTTTGTCAGTATTATATTGTTTAGGCTAGTAGGCTATATTATATCATTTTGCTACGGCTGGCCATGCTTTCCACCTGGCTACCCCTACCCCGGCCACCAGCTCTGCACCCTCCGCTGCAGCTTGCCCATGCCCCCCCCCCCCCCCCCCCCCCCCCACTTCTCCTTCACCCAAATTCAGACAGCTGATGTTCTGAAAGAGCTGAAAAATCTGGACCCCTACAAATCAGCTGGGCTAGACAATCTGGACCCTTTCTTTCTAAAAATTAGCAGCCGAAATTGTAGCAACCCCTGTTACGAGCCTGTTCAACCTCTCTTGTTGTCTGGACCTCTGGCAGTCTCTATGGGGGTTCCACAGGGTTCAATTCTCGGGCCGACTCTATTCTCTGTGTATATCAATGATGTCGCTCTTGCTGCTGGTGACTCTCAGATCCACCTCTACACAGACAACACCATTTTGTATACATCTGGCCCTTCATTGGACACTGTGTTAACAACCAAACAAGCTTCAATGCCATACAACACTCCTTCCGTAGCCTCCAACTGCTCTTAAATGCTAGTAAAACTAAATGCATGCTCTTCAATCGAACGCTGCTTGCACCCGCCTGCCCGACTAGAATTACAACTCTCGGCGGGTCTGACTTAGAATATGTGGACAACTACAAATACATAGGTGTCTGGTTAGACCGTAAACTCTCCTTCCAGACTCACATTAAGCATCTCCAATCCAAAGTTAAATCTAGAATCGGCATCCTATTTCGCAACAAAGCCTCCTTCACTCATGCTGCCAAACATGCCCTCGTAAAACTGACTATCCTACCGATCCTTGACTTCGGCGATGTCATTTACAAAATAGCCTCCAGCACTCTACTCAGCAAATTGGATGTAGTCTATCACAGTGCCACCCGTTTTGTCACCAAAGCCCCATATACTACCCACCATTGTGACCTGTACGCTCTCGTTGTCTGGCCCTCACTACATATTCGTTGCCAATCCCACTGGCTCCAGGTCATCTATAAATCTCTGCTAGGCAAATCCCCACCGTATCTTAGCTCATTGGTCACCATAGCAACACCCACCCGTAGTATGTGCTCCAGCAGGTGTATCTCACTGGTCATCCCCAAAGCCAACACCTCCTTTGGCCGCCATTCCTTCCAATTCTCTGCTGCTAATGACTGGAACGAACTGCAAAAATCTCTGAAGCTGGAGACGCTTATCTCCCTCACTAACTTTAAGCATCAGTTGTCAGAGCAGCTTACCTATCACTGCACCTGTACACAGCCCATCTGTAATTAGCCCACCCAACTACCTCATCCCCATATTGTTATTTATTTTGCTCATTTGCACCCCAGTATCTCTATTTGGATAAGCTGGATTAGCTGGCGAGTAGCTATTAGCAACGGTAGCAACTAAAAACAATATCCTTTTAGCCAGCTACATTCGTTCGCAGCGACGCCGTTTTTCAAACAAAGTCAACACAGTAGCCATTGCTAGCCAGCCAACACTACCAGCAGGCTGTACTGTGGTAGCTAAATACAATATCTTTGTGCTAGCTACCCAACGTTTAATCATTGCTGCGTTATGAAAGGTAAGCTCGGCTTCTTATATGGTGTTGAGTTAAGCTTAAACCATGTATTTAGATTGTAGGTAGGTATTGTAGTTTGGTATTATAGGTAGCTTACTCAGGTAGTTATTGAAGGTTATTGTAGGTAATTATTGTAGGTAAGGACTGTATTCGGCGGACTCCGGCGAAGCACGAGGCTAGCCTACCCACTACTTGGACCAACAAAGCTAGCTAGCTAGCGGGTAGCTACTGGTAACTTTTTGCAACTGTGGTTAATTGTTTCCAATGTTATTTCATGCTTAAGAGTACCTGTGATTGAGCCAGCTAGCTGCTACCATTCAGCTGTTTTTCTAACCTCATCCGAGGCATTAACGTTAGGTGGTTGGTAGCTGCTGTACTTAATTACAGCTACTGATAACAGTCTGCTGTAGTTTACAACAATTCTAATTTCTAAAGTGGAAGTTGGGAGAGTTTTACTCGGGTGGTTCAGTGAAACACTTATAGTTTCTGAGGTGGAAGTTGGGAGAGTTATATATATATATTTTTTTTTTTTGGTGAGGGAGGCCTGCTCTCTCCTTTCCCTGATGTTTAGTTCATTTCATCCCGATCTCCTCTGCATTATTGTAGCCATCTGCTGCAGCCTGTCAACTATGCCTCTGCCTATCCCTGTTCTCTCCTCTCCGCACAGGCTACACAAACGCCTCACACCGCGTGGCTGCTGCCTCTCTAACCTGGTGGTCCCTGCACGCACCACACACCTGGAGTTCCAGGTCTCAGGCAGCCTCTGGAACTGCCGTTCTGCCGCCAACAAGGCTGACTTCATCCCAGCCTATGCTACCCTCCAGTCCCTCGACTTCCTGGCACTGACGGAAACATGGATTACCACTGAAAACACTGCTACTCCTACTGCTCTCTCCTCGTCTGACCATGTGTTCTCGCATACCCCGAGAGCATCTGGTCAGAGGGGTGGTGGCACAGGAATCCTCATCTCTCCCAAGTGGTCATTCTCAATTTTTCCCCTAACCCATCTGTCTATCTCCTCATTTGAATTCCACGCTGTCACAGTCACTAGCCCATTTAAGCTTAATATCCTTGTCATCTATCGCCCTCCAGGTTCCCTTGGAGAGTTCATCAATGAGCTTGACGCCTTGATAAGTTCCTTTCCTGAGGATGGCTCACCCTTCACAGTTTTGGGGGATTTCAACCTCCCCGCGTCTACATTTGACTCATTTCTCTCTGCCTCCTTCTTTCCACTCCTCTCCTCTTTTGACCTCACCCTCTCACCATCCCCCCCCACTCACAAGGCAGGCAATACGCTTGACTTCATCTTTACTAGATGTTGCTCTTCTACTAATCTCACTGCAACTCCCCTCCATGTCTCCGACCACTACTTTGTATCCTTTTCTCTCTCGCTCTCCTCCAACACTACTCACTCTGCCCCTACACAGATGGTAACGCGCCGCCGCAACCTTCGCTCTCTCTCTCCCACTACTCTCTCCTCTTCCATCCTATCATCTCTTCCCTCTGCTCAATCCTTCTCCCTCCAATCTCCTGATTCTGCCTCCTCAACCCTCCTCTCCTCCCTTTCTGCATCCTTTGACTCCCTGTGTCCCCTATCCTCCCGGCCGGCTCGGTCCTCCCCTCCAGCTCTGTGGCTTGATGACTCATTGCGAGCTCACAGAACAGAGCTCCGGGCAGCTGAGCGGAAATGGAAGAAAACTAAACTCCCTGCCGACCTGGCATCTTTTCACTCCCTCCTCTCTACATTTTCTTCATCTGTTTCTGCTGCTAAGGCCACTTTCTACCACTCTA